ACAGGGGACGCTGGCGCGGGTTATCGGTTAGCCAGAAGCAGCTGCGAGGTCAAGCCTCGGGGGGAGAGGATAGACATTGTGGCCGTCTGCCACAGTACAAGGAGCGGACCGTCACCGCTTTGCCCTGTTACGTAGCATATACGATTGCCGTTGTAGAAATCGAAGGAGAAGGGGTGTGAGTATTAATTCCAGCGTTTAGTGATTCGAACTTATTACAGGAGGCATTGCGGACGTTCTGTTTTTTTTTCAAATCTACAACTCCCGCAGCTGGGGCGCCACAACTTTTACTGACCGGTTTAAGTCTGTCTGAAAACGGCAAATAAACCAGAAAGTGTGCTTTTCCTCATATCCTCCCTACGCGGTCGAAATCCTCTTCAAATATACTTGCAGCTTCAGAGGGTCACCGCTTTGGTTTGTTAAAGCATCCAGCAAGGAGGGTCTTGTCTCCCCTCGTTCCTGTACAGTCCTCTGCAAATCTGGCCATTTTAGCTCAGACGTAGACTTTAATCTAACATTTGCTTAGTCACCGCATGCTGTCGGTGTGCTGAATCAGCAGCACGAATAAAAAATGACATTTCTTGCGCCCGTTTTGTGGGACATTATGTCTCCTATAGTTAAAGGCATGATTCGATTTTAAGGTTTGTACTTACTTTTATAGTTTACGAAAAACGCCCGAGGAGTTTTTTTCACTGTCTACTCTTTTTTGCTTTTGTTCCACTTCACTGGTGTGTCGAGAAAATAGGCTGAGGTACTTTTCCCGACGTAACATTTACACAAGTTTGCTCTAACATTTTGTGTGACTATTTCATTTCGTTTATCTGGACAGATTTGTAACACTTCCTTATATTTATTGATACATTAAAAAACGTTTGATATCACAACAAATGGGCAGTTCAAAAGTATACACCTTCATTTCCCTCAACTGAACTGTACTTTTGGGCGCCTTTGTGTTCATTCCCTGATGTTACTTTCGACGTACACAACCTGATCTCCATCCATTGTAGTGTCCCGTAAATCTCAGGAGAGCACATTATAGGGGAGTTTTCTTCAACGCAGGTACATGGCAAGCAATTTAATAGAGGTTGTGCTCCAGGATAGACAGACGTAAGGAAGAAGGAGGGGCTGAAACGTTTTACAAAATACAGTATGGTTTAGGATTCGTGCAACCTGCCGACGTTTGCGAAAGAGTGCTACTCACTCGCTACTCGGCATTGAATACGGTTGTAATACCGATTA